ATGTAATCCGATCAGTGTGTCCTGGTCCAGAGGTAGTCGAGGATGCATTGTGATCGGATCTCAGTGTAATGTAAATGCAATCCAGCCATCGTGTCTGCATTCGCAGGTCGACATCACGCAAAACGCCGCCCCCTCTCTCGCGACGGAGAACACCCGTGTGGAGACTAGTGAGACTCCTACACTTATCTTTGATTTGTAAAATGTCCCGCGACTGAAAATGCTTTTCAAAAGAAAGCCCACCACTTCAGGTTGTCTTTGCACCGGGCCATTCTCTGCAAACTTATTTAAATATTGCGCGTGAAAGACAGATCCGATCGGTTATCCAAATAGAAAAGTCAGTTGATGTTGCCAAGTGTAAACGCGCCGTGTTCTGATTGACTGATGGGATCACGGTGATCGCGTGTTAATGCCAAGTGTAAACGCAGCCTTATTTGAAATAGAAATCTTTGTTGTATTATAAATGCCTTTAGTGTCACTTTTGATCATTTTAATCTGTCCTGAATAAAAGTGGATTTTAAAAAATCTTACTGACCTCAAAGTTTGAACAATAGTGAATATAGCTGTTTTTTTTATTATTGTCTTTTGCAGGCTTATTGTATTTTAGCAGGATCTCTGGTATCTGAAGGAGGTGAGATGTGGTTTCCTCTTCCATAGTTTCATTAACATTCAGAAAGGTCTGACAGTATCACTATTTAAATATCATCTGTCTGCTGATTCCCCATAAAGCTACACTATTGGTGGCCATTAACGAGATCAAGAAGAGTGCACGTGAACAAGGCTTGTCCTTTTATGAGTACGGTATGTACCTTCGGTTAAAGCTGCAGTCCGTAACTTTTGGCGCTCTAGCGGTTAATAAACACTGCGTGCGTCTTGCGGAAGAACATTGTAGCCGGAGCTACTTCTCTCTGTTTATGTCTAGGACGAATCACGCAGGTATTGGGCTACTCCGCAGCGGTACCTACCCGAACCAGTCTAAAATAATCCGCATATAAACACGTATTATAGGTGTACCGTAGTGATTCAGGACAAGCCAAAAACATGGATTCATGGTGTACTCGATTATTATATACATTTTGTACATTTTGAACACAAAAACGTTACGGACTGCAGCTTTAACTCTTCTATTAGCCTTGTCTGTTATTTGATTGTGATTATGGTTTTGACACAGTTTGGAGATGATCAGTTTGATAATCCTTGTTTGTTTGTGTATGACAGTGATGCAAAGTCGAGACCCCAGCACTAACGTGGTCCTGTTGGAGGACGCTGCTGCTGTGCTCGGGGTGGTGATGGCAGCTGGATGTATGGGACTAACGTCTCTCACAGGTATTTCAAATAAACACAAGAATAGTGCCTGACCCTCCTGTTTCATGCTAACCGTTGTCTCTACCACAGGGTCAGGTTTAATAAGCACATGGGCCTGAGCTTTATCCCCTTTATAAAGAGCAGTTGATGTTCTTTTTAAGCTTTGTAAATCCAGCTCTAAACGCAATTCTGTGCACACACAAAGTCAACACCTACGGCTGCCCAGAAGCTTGGTCCTCTTGCCCTGTGGTTTTCATGGCTTTGTGGAAAATTTGTGTAGAGATCTGGATAATGCTCTATTCAGTAAACCTGCTTTCATGCTTGAGAACAGCCCTGATGGCAGTTTCAGCTCAGTTTATTATCTGGCGCTTACTACAGTTGTATGTTATTGAAGTGTAATCAACCATGAAACTAACAGCAATGTTATTTTACATAGCAGGGCTTTAAAAGAAAAAAATAGCACTTTTGTTTGTACCACTAGAGGTCTCTATTGTGGCATTAAAGACTGCTGTATACCAATTCACCTAGACTATAATTCATAAGATTGCGATCAGTAAGGTTTTTTCTTTTGAAATAAGAGTCTTATTGATATTTATTTGATTAAAAAAAATTAAGTAAAAACAGTGCAATTGTAAAATATTGTTACAGTTTAAAATAACTGTTTTCTATTATAATACATTTAAAAATGTAATTTATTGCTGTGATGGCAAAGCTGAATTTTAAGCAGTCATTACTCTAGTATTCAGTGTGACATGATCCTTCAGAAATCATTCTAATATGCTGATTTGATACTCAAGAAACAGTTTGTATTGTGGAGTGCATTAGTACCCGCCAACTTTTTCAGTATTTTTCCATAGAGATTTTGTTAAAGTGTCTTTGTTAAAGTGTTATTCAATTCAATTCAAGTTTATTTGTATTGCGCTTTTCACGATACAAATCGTTGCAAAGCAACTTTACAGCAAATTAAGTTTCTACAATATTTAGTGGTAGCTAGCTTATCAGTGGTGACTGTCAGTTAATGTACATATGGCAGAAATGTACAGAAAAATCAATTAATTAAGACGTAATCAAACAGACGATGAACACTATTAACAGCAATTATTATATGATGCAATCAAACTTATAGCAAAATGTGGTAGTTCTGTATGTTTCAGGGTTGACATCATCTGAGGTCCTCTGAGGGGTTGGCATCATCTCTTCTCAGGTGTTCTGGATCCAGACTGAAGCTTGTGTAAATCCTAGTTACAGAAACAGAGAAACAAATAGAGACATAATTAGCGTAGCTGCTGTTCCAACCAAGCAAAATTGATTTGTTTATAAGCTGTGAATCAAGCCAACCAGCTATGAGGTGAATCAAAACATTAAAAACTTGTAGTTCAAGCAAAAAAAAAGACAAAGGAATCAGGCAAAAAAAGACAAGACTTAACTTAACTGTACTTAACTTTAACGGGGCAAACAATAACAGTCAAAAATAATGATGAAATATAGAACTAATTTATTTAGAAACAATTGTTTAGAAACAATTTATTTTGAATTTATTAAAAATTTTATATATATAAAATATATAAAATTCTTGAATTTTATGCTGCACAAAAAATTGCCCTCCAGGCTTATAATAAACTTTGAACCTTGAGATGACCATATTGCGAATGAATATATGAAAATGTGTGTGTCAATTTTAGCATATAGCTAAATGGATTACTTCAGAATTCATTGTTAACCTTTATGTGCATAAATGTAAAAATGTGCCATTTAGTTGCCATTTAGATACTGCTAATATTACACACACAGCTCATTGCACCTTTTTTATAACTCAGTGGGTCGTGGGTAACCTTATTCATGGTAGATGCTATATTCATTTGTCAGAATGTCATCCGGCACCATTGATGTGGGTTGCATTCTATTAGTCTCACATATTATGTACTGTACATGACATTTAATATATTTAATGCCTCTCTCTTTCTCCCCCTTCATAGGTAACCCCTACTATGACAGTCTGGGTTCTCTGGGTGTGGGCACCCTGTTAGGAACAGTATCTGCATTCCTCATCTACACTAACACAGAGGCTCTGCTGGGTCGCTCCATCCAGGCCGAGCATGTGCAGAAGCTCACAGAGTTTCTGGAAAATGACCCTGCTGTCAGGTCAGTCCTCCATCCCTGCCTTTCTCCATTGTATGTGTCCACTACATGTAACCAAAGTCTGCATAATAAGAGCTTCATCAGCAAACAAGCTGCCATCTTACAGTTCATGACAGTGCTTTAACAAGGAGACAGAAGCAACCTGCTTCAAATGTTTTTCAAATTCAGGCAAGCATCACATTCTGAAATGTAAGCTTGCTCAGACAGAGTTACATCAGTGTACATTCGTGCTTTGATGAAATTAGATTTGATGTCCTCACTTCAGGTCATTTTGTCTCCAGGGCGATTCATGATGTCAAAGCCACAGATATGGGGCTGAGCAAAGTGCGCTTCAAGGCAGAGGTGGACTTTGATGGGCGGGTGGTGACACGATCATACCTGGAGAAGCAAGACATTGAACAGATCCTCAACGTACGTGCTAAGAGACAAGGCTTCTGCTGTGATGTAGATAATCTGACGTGACTTTAGCATTTGTTTCAAGTCTATCCATTGTTTCATAGAAGTGACTAAACTATTAGCACTCAAACAAATTCATGGTAGTTTTTGCTAATGAATCATCCTTTTGTGAGCTCTGCATATTAATAGTGTAACTGTGTGTGTTTGGCCTGCAGGACATTCAGCAGGTGAAGACACCAGAGGAGCTGGAGAACTTTATGTTGAAGCACGGGGAGAACATTATTGACACCTTAGGAGCAGAGGTGGACCGTCTAGAGAAAGAACTTAAGGTATCTGAGAAGACCACACTTAAGTTCTTAATTGACGTCTATGGTTCTATGAAGACCCTTTAACAAACATGGAACCTTTCTATTGTACAAAAGGTTCTTTATAGTGAAAAAAAAGATTCTTTGAAATATTTTCCACACTAAGAAACCAATATTTTCTTAAAAACTGTTCACGGATAGGTTCTTTGGCAAACCATAAATGTGACCCTGGACCACAAAACCAGTCATAAGTAGCACGGGTATATTTGTAGCAATATCCAACAATACATTGTATGGGTCAACAAAATTATCGATTTTTCTTTTATGCCAAAAATCATTAAGATAATAAGTAAAGATCATGTTCCATGAAGATATTTTGTAAATTTCCTACCGTAAATATATCAAAACTTAATTTTTGATTAGTAATATGCATTGCTAAGACCTTCATTTGGACAATTTAAAGGCGATTTTCTCAATATTTTGATTTTTTTTTTGCAGCCTCAGATTCCAGATTTTCAAATAGTTGTATCTCAGCCAAATGTTGTCCTATACTAACAATACATACATAAATGGAAAGCTTATTTGTTATTATTATTTATCAGCTTTCAGGTGATGTATAAATCTCAATTTAAAAAAATTGACCCTTATGACTGGTTTTGTGGTCCAGGGTCACAAATGGTTCTTCTTTGGCAGTGCTGTGAAAAGCCCATTTTGGAGCCTTTATTTTTAAGAATGTATGATTCAGATCTCTCTTGTCTCCATCCTGACAATCCTTCAGTAAATTTGTATGGTTAGCTGTCAGAATAAGTCAGCACTACATTCAGCAGACACCACACTCATGATTGCACATAAAGGAAATCAGTTCAGCTATTTGGCCACAACTATTCAAAATAAATCAAAGTGAAACCTTCCAGTTTCACTCTCCAGGGTTTCATTTTGGGAAAGGAAAATCAGATTTGATGTTTTACAGAGAACAACACTGTAATTGCCTTTTCACACTATATATGATGCATTGGCAGATGGCAAGAAAGTTAAATGCAAATTGTTGTGTGAAAATTGTAATTTTCTTGGCTTTTCAATTTATTTATTTACGTTTTTTATGCTCTGATATTTCTGAATTTACAAAAAGGAGATTTAATTCAAAATCAAATATGAACATTTAAAGATTTTAGCATAAAAGATTTTTATACATTTTAGCATTTATTATTATCAACATTTAAAACAGTTGCTGCTGCTTAATATTTTGTGAAAACCGTGATAACATTTTTTCAGAATTCTTTGGTGAAGAGAAAGTTCAAAATAACAGCATTTTTAAATACATGTAAATGTATTTACTGTCACTTTTGATCAATTTAATACTGTCTTGCAGAATAAAAGTGTCCATTTTTTTCTTTCTTAAAAAAACTTTTGGATGGTAATGTGTTGAATCGAATGTTCTTTAGAACAAGTTAGTACTTACTAGTCCTCATTTTTCCTTGACTGACTTCTGCTCTGTATCTCCGACAGCAACGTAATCCTGAGGTGCGGCATGTGGATCTGGAGATTTTATAATGTCATCATGACACATTGCAGAATGGAGATCAGGATGGAGCGGAAGGAAAACGAATCAAACCTCGAGTGACCATGAGCGCCCCATTCTCTCCAACCAGCCAATCAGCTGAGGTCTTATGTTACATCAGTCCCACATCAACCAAGCACTAACCTGTACATGGTTTCAGTAGCTGATAATATAGCAAAACCATAGCCAATACAGAGTGGACTCCAGCTGGATAGAGACAAGGCTAATAAATTATTATTTTACAGTCATTAGCTTTCAGATCTGTGGTAGTTCGTACCATCAGAGCTTTGAAATCATGTCCATGGATTGTAAAAGGACCAGTCTTATTTCATTTCACAATTTACAAGCAGCATGAACACTCATATTTTACAACAGTTCTGTCATAACACTAAAGTATTAGTAAACAGGATATAACCTAGCTTGAAGGGCAAAATGAAGAGTAATTGTAATCTACTTTTTTTAATCCAGTTTAAATTGATGTTTAAATCAGTTAAAAAAAAAACATTTCAGATTCCTTCATAAATTACACGTATTTAAAATAGTACTAATAACAGATGAAGAAAGTGTGTTCTAAACCATATTATATCCACATTTATCAGTAATGAGAGAACTATAGAACCAAATTTAATACAACGGGTATCCATGGCCCACCTCAAGTGATGAAGACTACTCAGATCTTCACATCCTTCCTCTACTAAAAGTACTAATGTCATTATGCTGCTTTCTGGACTGTTCATCTGTTTACGCTGTAATTTAGTGTGACTGAATGAAGAAAGCAATTGTAGATGTCCAAAAACAGCTCTGTTTCTAAAGTCATTGGTGGCATTGTTGTGTTGCCAACCTAGTTTGTGAACACATGTGATGCACGTGTTTTTCCATTGTAAATAATTCCTGACTGTGAAAATGCAACATTCTTATTTTGATATCTGAAAAATAAGCATTTAGTCCATTTAAATACCCTCAGTACACATACAAACAGTATATTTTGTGGTAGATACCTGCTCTCTTGTGAAGTCTATGTATTGTTTATGAACATTGTAAAATTTCCCCTTAGGAACAGTCAGACATCTAATGCAGGTTGGATGAACACATTCAAGGATGGTTAGCAAGGATGAAGTGTAAAATGTAGTTATGGAAAAGGCTTTAAGACTATATATATTTTAAATATGTTTATTTGACAGATTGCTATTTGGTTAGATCTTTGAGCTGTTTGGAGCTACTGAAGAAAGGATGAATAAATTGCAATTAATTTATTAAACCACTGAATATTTGTCTTTTTTACTGTTTTGTTTTAAGAAATAAATTCTATTTTTAAAGGAATTAATGCTTTTATTCCTCAAATGATGCATTAATCAAAAGTTACATAAAATGTTAATGTTTAGAATGTTACAAAACATTTTAATTAGTTTAAATTTAACTTTTGAATTATTATTATTTTGAAGTTATTTTAAATTGTTATAATATTTTAAAAATATTGTTTTACAGTATTTTTGGCCAAATAAATGCAGCCTTGGTGAGCATAAGAGACTTTTTCCAAACACATTTAAAAAAATATTTTATATTCATATATTCCTTATATGACGGCTCTTATTTAACATGCTCTTCCAAAAATGTCAATGTCATTGGCTAGTACACTTATCAGTAATCTTAGCCTTTCATGTTGATTGGCTCAGATGTATTTCTGGACATTTGAGCTGCAGCCTACATATATAAAAGGCTTTCTCAAAATAATAGAACCATATAGATTTCGACCACCTAATATGCAGCATCATATAGGATGCTGTATGGTCAATGGCAGCCGTGATTTCAGTTTGCGGTGTACAGGATGCATCTACAGCAGCAGGGATATTGTACATCGGCTGTGTCTCAAATTCTAGTGAGCAGCCTACCTAGACAACATATGTGAGCGCGTTGTGAGCACTTGACTCGGTTGCGCCCTACGCGTCCCAAAACGCTGTCTAGGTATGAAGCGCACTAGGGTTTGAGACGCCGCCGCGGAGGGACACGAGAAACGTGTGGCGCATCTGTGATGGTGGTCATGAAGAAAGGTAGAGACGCCGCGGCTGAACATCGGATTTCTTCCCGCGACTGAGGGTTTGATCTCTGTGAAGGTGAAGTGTGTTTTTTCTTTTGATCTGATGACTAATATTTACTCGATAGATTGTATAGAAATGGATATTGTCGTTGAGATGCGTATATATCAAAATAAATCACTGATTCTGCGAAGGTTCATTTAAATCTGTCGATTTTATACATCGCGCGCTTTGTTAAAAGTCAAACGAACGATAAATTTGTGTTTTGTTCACAAGACATAAGATATTTATTATCAGATGTCCTCTAAAATACCTAAATATTGTATTAGTATTGCTTTATTGCTGGAGTTTAACCGTAATATATATCCCGAGTCTGCATGCTAGCCCGTTTGGATTGTTTATCGACTGTCGATATTTGATATTCGTGTGAATTTTCCTATTGTTATTGATGTTTGTCATAGCAAACACACCAATAGGGGGCGCTATCGGCCTTGTCTTGTTGGCCACGTCCTCCAGCTCTATTAATTCAGCAATAATGGAAGCATTACACTATATTTATCTGTTAATTTACCTTTCAATATTGTCATTTATCTAACCTTAACGTGACACTGGCTGCATCTGGAAAACCTAACGAGCTGCCTACCTAGACCTGCATTATGAGGCATCTTACAATGATGTCCAAACATGCTGCTGCTCGCTAGATTTTGAGAGGCAGCCAGTGGTGTTATTATGTACCCTCAGTAGACATCATGCACAGATGATTTACTCTGAGCTTTGAGCCTCTTTACAATGCTGCCTTGTAGACCCAGAATCAAGCAGCATTGTACAGGGCTATGAAAGCACAGAGACGCACTTCCGTATCAGCCCGGCTGTTTGTGAAGGATTTCTGTCAACCTTAAGTATATTTATGTGATGATTTTGTATCATTGCAATGCACTTGATTTACACTTCTTTTTATTATTAACAGATTTGACGCTTTGTTTAATCAACCCTGTAACTGAACTGAAAAGCGATATCATTCATATACAGACATTAGGTCATCTTCTTTCAGTGGCAAGCAATTTAATTCCTGCAAAAGTTTGCATAATTAAATATAACGTATGTAACTACATCCCTAACTGGCTGGAAAATAATTAAACGAATATTTATTTATTTATTTTAAAATAATATTTAATTATTCTTAATTTATTATTATATATAAAAAATGACAACAATAATATTATGTTTTATTATTATTAAAATTCTTAACTTGTTTGGGGTTTTGTCCTTTGTTTTTTGTTTTTTCTCTCGGTAGGTCACCTGTTTTGATGTTCACCAGATAATGCTTTGAATTTTGTCTCATGCTGGGATCATAGGGTTCAGAAAGATGATATGCCTCTCTGAACTACTAGTTAATTTACTTAATTGCTATATTTATTTACAGTGACAGACAGTGTCCATGCTGTCCGATTAGGTAATGTTGCCAGACATCTGTTGGCATGTGACAAAAAAAGCCTCATACTGTGATAATTAATCATCATCAAATAGCAAATATGGTAAAAAAAAAAAACTACATCTGTAGACATGTAATTGAGTTTTCTAAAAAAAAACAGTTTATTCACAAATAGCAGTTCTTTCTGCGTCTCTTGTTTTATACATGGCTTATGGGGGTGGAGGTTTTGCTGGGAAGGGGTTTGCAGGCACTTGAAGAGGACCTTAGTGAGAACAGCTGGAGCAGGGCTGGAGACCATTCTCGTTGCACGCTGTGCACTTCAGGGCTTTGAAAGAGTCGGTGAAGCAGTTGCGGAACACAGACATTTTGCTGCCATGGCACATAGGGCACGGGACAAAGGCAAATCCCCCACACGTCTGGCATGTGTCGGGGTGCTGAACCCTCTACCATCAGACAGAGAAACAGAGAGAAGAATGCGAGTGCATTTGAATGAAATACCTCACCCGTGTGCACATTCTCTTGGAGATACAATCTGAGTGATGCTTTATTTATTTAATTAAATAAGACAAATGCAAGCTTGACTTTATCTATTATTTTGGGTTGTTCTGCACACTGGTTTTATAAATGCACAATAATATTTTGAGCTTGCTATTATTAGTACTTTTATTTTATTTTGTTTTATTTTGAAAGCGTTTGCAATTATTGATGGGACCCAATCTCACAGAAAGATGTAACTATTTTACATAGTGGCGATTTCTTATGAATGTGTACAATGTCAATCATACAAAAACGAACAATTTTTATAAAAACGTAAGCGTGAAGGTCCACTCCTAAATGATATGAGATTGCATAAATTCATATGAGTTTGTGAAAATGTAGAATAGTTACAAATTTGCCTCAAGATTATGTTGAAATTGTTGACATTCACTATGTTTGAGAAGCCACTGTATAGCAAATTGTGCCTGCCAAATGCATAAATGTAATGTAAATAATATTAATCACTGATAAATAATGCATGTATGTCTATGTGTAAAGAGCTATAATGAACTGTAATAATAAACCTTTCTTGTCACGTCTTGCTTCTGTTTCCATTTACAGAATAAATTATGATAATAAACCAGATTTGACTTTACTTGAGCATCTGGAACCAAAAGGTAAATATATATTTTTTTATGTAGACTTGGTTTATAGTACACTTAAAAAATTAACGTTCTTTATTGACATTTATAGTTCCATGAAGAAACTTTAACATCCATGGAAGCTTTTCAATGCACAAAAAGTTCTTTTAGTGGAAAAGGGTGCTTATTATTAAAATGTTCTTCACACTAAGAAAACAAGTTCACCCAAAATGGTTCTTTGGCATAGCTGCAAAAAGCCCCTTATGAAACCTTTATTTTAGTGTAAAATATCAATATTTACCTCTATTTTGGTGAGGAGATCCTGAAGCTCCCCTAATTCATTCATTGCGAGTATTTTCTCTGCATCCTGAATGTGCAAAACATACGCAAATCATTATTAAGAGTTCAAGCATTAGCATAATGGCGTGAATTTTGAAACAGATGTGGAGCATGAGTGTGTACACTGACCCCTAAGTAGTGTCCATCAATGAAGACCACAGGCAGTGAGGGAGGTTCACCCACTCGCTTACAGCGTGTCTCCAGTTCCTTCCCATATTCATTGTCCAAAGCGATGTTCTTCTCTATGAACTTCACCCTGTGGTTCTGAAAGATCTTTCGGACCAGCTCGCATCGCTCAAATGTAGTCCTGACCACTCGAAAACTGG